TGTGGTATCAGCATTGCGCGAGCTACGCATTGCGGCCCTTTTTGTGACTTTACTGTAGACTTTATTCACTTCGAAGTCACACTGTGGCAAACATACCCTTTGATTTTATGATAAGGCTAGGTAATGATCTGAGAGCACGCACGCAGGAGAGACGCAGACTGCGTTGCGGGGGCAAGGGCTCTAATTAGGTCACAAAGCCCGCCTTCCAGCCGTCAAGCCAGTTGAATCAAACGTTATGTATGTTGCATATTTCCGTGGAACGTGCTTACGGTAACATATTGCGATGGCGCGAAAAGACTTTCTAAATGTTATTTCTTCTATATTTTAGCATAAGCGGTATTATAGAAAGGAAAGATTGAAACATAGTTTTGGCGTTGCTTGAAATTTTTCTCTGAAGTCCTCGGAAGTTCACAGAGTTACTTTTCAAACCGATGTAATCGCTGACTGAAGTTCATGCTACGCTACATTTGGTACCATCTTCTACCCCTTTGAGGGTATCTACAAATTTTTTCCAGCGCATGCTTACTTCAGTGATATCTCAACTATTTGGGCTTTCAATTATCTAGGCTCTCAACTATACGCGAATATTTGCTGGTGCAAATTGTTTCGCATACAAAACTGATCGATTGGAGATTTTCGGCTCTTGGACCGGATCTTTTTCTGCTAAATGCCTTGTAACACGCAGTAATTTACCGAACGGCTGAACTACCTGAAGAATAAAAAACTCTGGTAGATGCTCTTAGATTTTATTTGTAAACTCTTTGGAACCTTTACAATAGCGCAGAATCTATCTAGAGTGTTCTGTCAAGGAAATGGGCGTTCCAGCTTACTCTCAGGAAAAATTCAGAGCTTATGTTCGGATCGGTGACAATCTCGTTCCTTGGCTGACAGGTCCCTAAGTTTTTATAATATCATCCAAATTTACAACCACTCAGAAACAAGGAGGGGAGGGGAGGGAGGAGGACTCAAACCGTATTACTGGTTCCTTTAGTCGCTACAATATCCTCTAATTTAATAAGGAACCTTTGCAAAAAAAATTTTTTGGCAAATTGGCGAGTTTGCTTGGCTTTTGAGAGACCCGAATGGTCCGAATTGTACATTTGCCACTTCTAGTTTTTCTTCTCTTTGCCTTCCCTGCCGTCTCTCAGGATACTTTGACCACTGATACTTTTGCACCATTTTCACCTCTAACTGAGATATAGATCTCATTGTCAGAAAGAATTGTTATAAGTCCGAGTTCCACATTACAAATCCTTCCAGGAGATGTGACTCATTGAGAAGGGCAGAATGTCTTTTCATAAACGCGCTTCCGTGCATGGCTAGACACACATAGCTCGGGCACTTTAGCCATCAGCCACTACGACATCCAGGGTTCCCCGCCCGCTCATTGATTTCCGCTCTCCTTTTGGCCACCGCACTAAATTGGGTCCTTTAGTTGGCCTCTATGCGTCGAATTTCTGATTTTATCTTTTCCTTGCTCCATTGAATTTGTTTACATGGGCTAATACTCATAGCTATCATTAAGGATATCGGTGAGTCAATGATGCCTCATCGAGTTTCGCGTAACATAGGTGTCACGTAGGTAAACTCCAAAATTTTTCGATGTGCCTTAGCGACAGGAAAAGGGAGGTGGGGCATGGGCACTTTTGATCAGCAATGCATCCTTCCACCTAGTGAACGAATTGTAAATCCTTATTCAGTGATTATCTATTGTTCGAACATTTTTCAGTCTCCTTGTATGCAATACAAGGATTCATTAAGGATATATAATGGAATTGAAAAATTTCACCTGAGGGAATCTTTCTTTATTATTACTTCATTGAGGAAGTGCGGAGGGGAAGAAGCTATATGTAGTACCAACACTGCTGTCTTGGAATTCTGCGAAATAAATTCGCGCCGGAAGTGCCGCATTGCGATAGCTTGCTTGAACTTCAACCAATTGAACTCTAGCCTAAATTTCTGAAATCAGCTCTTTCTGGACAATCTGGAAGTAAAATCTTCAAAACTCATTTGCAAGGACCTTTTTTGGAACCATCGACGATATTGCTTGATCCCGACCTACAACGACTTACAAGTTGGCTGACAAAGCCACATTTTTAGAACCAAAGTGTCCTAACCTTCTTTTTTTTGGTCTGAGGGAACCCATGAAGGGGAGTAAGCGATTGTGGGTCGCGGTTTAGGAAATGGTTGGCGCGAGCTAAAACTGTGCGGAACCTATGGGTTGCGATTTTTGAAAGTCTTTGGCATCTGTGCAAATAGCTTGCATTTGTCTGTAGATCTGAAAACATTATTTCCTAAAATTTTGCAGTATTTGGTTAAAAATGTGAAAAAAGAACTGTCTTTGAGGACGTAATTGTTACCTCCCTCCCTTCAAAAATCTTGAAATTGGGAACTATGAAATTGCTCTCATGAAATTCCATTCGAGATGTGTCTAATGCTGGATTCCTTCATTTAGATAAAAGAAATTCGTCATTGGTTCTAGACTGCGATGGCTATCGTGATAGACTGTGAAAAAATTTTTCATTAGCCCTCAGCTATCATGCTATCCACTTTGTTGTGAACAGTAAAAGATTGATATGAGTCACCAAAGAGGCAAAGCCCGGTTCCAAGCTGCATACATCTCCCTAGAGTATGACTAACACAGCGAAACAAGGTGAGCTTTCTGACTTAGTTTATGGTTTCGGGAGTGATCCCAAGAAGTGAAACACCATGACTCATTTAGAATGTAAACTTCGACCTTTCAAATTCCGCAGGCTTCCTATATGAAGCGCTCAAAACTCTCCTTTTTTGCTACTTATAGCTTCAGAATAAACTTTGTACTAACTACCTGTCCATTTTATCCCTTTTTTTGAGGTGCAAAGTTTGTTTCCATCAAATTTCTATCATTTTCTATGCTTAGCTGAACCGGCTACATAATAAAAAACTGCGTTCCAGAAGATCAGATGCTATCGATATCGACCGGAGAGCTAGTTTTCGAGAATGGTCCCGTCTTCGACACGTCTACTTGGGCCCTATCAGTTTCTCTCTTGCTTATCTTTTCTTTTTAGTTACATCGCTGCGTCATCTTGACATCTGAAAAAAGTTTACATCTGACGTCGATATCTGCCTACGTTTTCCACATTTTCCTTTATTCCGGTTTCATCATTTTGGTTTTTTTTTGCACTTACCATACATTTAGAAAATACTGCAAATGTCTGTAAATTTCTCATTCTCCTTGCTCTTACTTTTCTTTTCATCTTCCTCCTCAAAGACCTCGAGCATGGTTTTTCCCATAAACATTTCACAAAAATAGTATCAATATTTTTTCTGAATTTATTACCTCATTATGCAAGCACACTATTTTTTTACCTTCTTTTCCTGGAAAAATGCACCATATTACCTCTGGAAAAAACTGTGTTGTTTCAAGGAATGCTCTAGGCAGGTGGATAATGTTTTCAAACTTACTGTAGGAGAAAAAAATTATGAGGACATGCTCTTACAAAAAATTTTTGTTGTGTATAAAAGTCTTGGCATCCCAGAGAGGCTGAGCAATCTCGACCTTGGGGTGTGAATAAGTTGCAATAGGAGTGGAAAATGGAAGAAGAAGGCAGAAAACAAGAAGTTTTTTGTAAAAATACCACTTTGCACTTGAAAATGTTCGGGAATTCACTTCCATAAATGTGGAAGCCACTCTACTTTATAACACATCAGCTATCTTAGGAATGTTCCCATTACATTTAAGGAAGTGCAAGTGCAACATCTCCACTGCTACGCACGCAGTACAAACTAATTAAAGGGAATTCGGATCTTTATTTGATGCCTTTGCTCGATACTCTGCTAAAATTACAAGTAATCTCGAATTGTCAATTTTTTTCCTAAAACTTGACAAAAAGGACATTATTGTGACATTTTCTTGAATTAATTACTACGATGTCTCAATGAAAAAGTTCTGTAAATACGGACGCAATAAGTTGATAGCAGAAAACCAAGTAGTAGCAACGTGAAAAAATGGATGCCCTGTTTGTTCTTGAGGGCAGTGGCTTGGGAAAATTGCTGCGAGCTTTCCACAACTACATAGTCTCATGAATCCGCTGAGTCCGGGACTATGCTTGTAAATCCAAAAACATGCTTTTCTGGCATTTTCCGACCTTGGAAATTACCGAGGGGGCTGAAGGAGAGATATTCCTGTTAGGAAAGCGACTAGCCGCAGGAGACTGTAGCTCCACCCTTTTTGGCGGCAAATTGCTGATCGCATCAGGTAGCCAATCGCGACTCAGTTGGCGGGAATCGTTCGTCCACCCCTCCAGCAATCTCCAAGGCCGAAAACACCAAAAAAGCACATTTTTGACTAGTCAAGCACAGCCTTGGATTCAGCGCATGCAGGAGGCCAAGGAAGGATGGAAAGTTCGTAATAGCAATTTTCCCGACCCACTGCCTTTGATCTTTTCAGTTCGAAGTCGTTTCAAAGCTGTATTTTCTTTCTAGCCTTTTCTCCTTATAAATTTATCGAGTAATTCTGTATGGTACCCATAGGACATTGTTGCGATGGGAAGAGGTAGGAGGAACGAGTGAAATCTGCTTCAAATAGAGAGTGAAGAGCTTGATGTCCGTATTTTTTCATATCATCTTGGATGGTTTCCGATCAGATTTCAAGGGTCCGAAAATTCAAAGATTTTTACGTAAACCCAAAGCGGCTTCGAGGCTCTCATCAGATTTGTGAAATTTATGTGAAAAATTGCTTTGGTCATGGAAAGAAGTACTTCTACGATTTCTTGATAATCAAAAAGTTCCAAAACTTTTGCATTTCATTTTTGAAAGACAATGTCCAACTTTCTCTTCCTCTCCCATCCTGGCCCTTCACTCCTTCATCACTTCTCTTTGCCAATTCTACAGTGGTTATTACAAAATTGTTTCCATTTGCACTGATTTTGACCATACTCGGACGTTTGTTACATCTTTCATCGAACCTTGCGATTTTCTTCCGTGTCGTCTCTTTATCGTCGCGTACGAGTCGTCATGTTTCGTAATCTTGACTTCCACACATTCAGAGCCGCTATCGGAGCTGCTCCGGCACCTCTGCAGCCATTCCCGTGCCGTCGCATACAGCCGCTGCAGCGGCCGCCGCGTCGCGACCGAAACCTGCCGAGGAGTTCGTCGGCAATTCGGCAGGTCAGCCAATTTCTCGAATTATCTTAAGATTTTGCGATTTTCTTTATTCATAGAGATTCCCGCTTCATAGAGTGCCTTTTTGACTGGAAGCCCCATAATCTCGCGTGTTGAGTTGTCCGGGTGCCAGCGCCGTGCCAGTGCTCAGGTGGACGCGCTTCTGCGATCATTGGCACCGGCACGGCACTGGCGCACGGAACTCTGGACACAGCCTAAGCTTGTTAGAAAAAATTTTTCTTCTTTTTCTTGTGGCGCAGTTTATTTTGGTATTTATTCAATCAACCTTGGCTTGTCCCAAATTTATACTAATTTTACAATTTCACAACAGGTTTTCTCTCTCGTACACATTTCTTACAAAAAATTTGAAAGGCCACCCAATGTCCCCTTCAAGCGTATAAGATGAGATTGCACTTTTCACAACGATGTCATCCTGACGAATTTTTTTTCTTCTTTATTTCTGGCATTTTTTCTCCCTCAACAATGTACGAATTTCTATGAAAACCAGCTCGATTTCTTGTTGGTGTGACTTGTCGCTCGGACGACGACGACGATGAGGACGACGAGCGCGAGCCTCGAATGGATCTAGTTTTTCTAGCCTATTGCGTGTCACCCTGTGACGTGTGAAAAATCTCTGACTTTACTACAGGCACTAGGAAATTTTGGCTTGATATTGATTTTGTGGACTTTTGGCGGGAGTTCTCTGTCTAGAGTTCTTCCTGTTTTTAGGGATCACTTTTTGTGAGCAAATAGTTATACAAAAGAAACTTGCGGTTGACCCAAGATGCTACTCTTCCCATATGAATTTGACGAGAACTGGTCCCCCAAGTAAAGCTGTAGAGGCGCTATATTGACTAAAAGCACTATCGCTATAATTTTCGTACAGCAGCAATATCTGCTTCTCAAGGTAGACTGCAGAAATTTTTTATCTACTAAAAACGGGAGATGTTTTGATTTTTTTTCATCCTTCTTGCATATCATCATGAAAACCGGTCCTCAAATATTCTGAAAATAAGGGAATTCTCTCTGCTCTCACACAACTGTGTAAAAAAATTTTGAATACCTCATAATTAAATTGCGCGCATTTCAAGCTTGTGAGAAATGGTCCTCGCCTTAGCATGTCAAGCAAGAAAAAGCTTCTGTTTTTTCAGAGAGTTCATTTCTAAGAATAGCTGTTGGCCATTGCTGAAGGCAAATATTTTTCCACTTGAGATCCTTACGGCTCGCATTTTTGGCGTAAATTGCTTTTCGTGAATCTACAAAAACAAATTGTAACCTCGTCATCTGTATATTTAAGGTTTTTTTCCAATCCAAGCGGTAATAGAATCCAAAAACTGAAGTTCAGAAGTAGCAATAGCGAAAACTAGTTCTTTCAGTGATGTTTATGATAACCAAATGATTTTGCTTGCAAACTATCTCTGCAAGGTGCAGTTTGATGAATGGAGCGAAAAGTGATCTTTTGAGCCATGATTGATGTGGCCCCGCCTTGCCTTATCAAAAAATTTGTTTTTCATTTTCTCACATGGTAGCCGGTAGTTTCGTAAGATTTATGCGTTTTCCATTTGTCTGATCTTCGATGCTTCCAAGGAACCAGTTTTGGCATAGACTTCCGTAAGTTTGAGATTGATCGCATTTTTCATAACATGTGCTAGTAGATTCGCCCCCCCCCTCTTCTGTCCCGAAGATAAAATTCTTTTCTCTGATTTTTCGCGTACGAAACGAAGGTGACCTTAACCTCGTGTAGATCTTCAAAACATCGCTCGATCTAGGGCGAAATAGCCCAATTTTTCCCGCGTGCTAGGTCGAGATCGCTTTCGTTGTTTTCACTTCAGTCATTACTCCACTTTCGCCCCGATCACGACGGGGGCGATCTTTGTCGCCCCGCGATTTTCAGGTCATCGAACACACTACGAATTTCACCTTGATTTCCATAGCATGCCCGTACTTTGCCCTTATCGTGACGCCAACTGACGTGGGGTGTGATTCCATGGATCCCCCCCCCCCCTGAGTAATGAAAAAAATGAAGGCGATTGTTTGTTTTGATCCTGTGGTTTTGATTACTCCCGGGCTATTTTTACCCCCCAGCTGGTTCCGAGACCCGTCCCATTTCCGTCGTCGTAGAATGGGTGGACAAGTGAAGAATGAACGGAGCACCAGCGGCTTCGAGAGCCGGTGCGCCTCGACGCGCCATTGTTGTCGGTTTGGAGCCGGACACACATTCTGTTGTTCGGATAGTATTACCCGAACGGCTTGTGTATTTGAGCTGGAGTAGTGGCTCCAAGGAATGTTACGATTTGTGCTAGTTGTCCATTGAAGTTTGGTTGATTTTCGAAGAATTTATTAGGACTTGCTTAAGGTAGAAGCTTCTCCTAACGTTTTTTACGGTCTTGCGTGACAACAGGAGTTTTTACCAAAATCGCAGTCTTTGCATGTTTTTATTAGAATTCTTTTGCACGTATCAGTATATAAATAAATAAATAAATTTTGTATTTATGCACTTTTTCCATACTTCTTCCAAAACAGTTATTTCAATCCAAAAGTGGATTTGTGCTAGTACACATAGCAATACATCGCCGTGCGTTCTGGTATGCTGCACCATATCCGTTCGGTTGCTGTAGGATACGGTGGGGCTGGGCTTTTTTTGAATTGATTTTGTCGTGGTATAATCGATTACTGTAAATGAAAGTAGACAAATTTGGAAGTGGGACGTGATTGCTTTGCAAATTAGTGCAGTTATTTATAGGCGCCATGATCTTTCGATTTCGTGAAAATAATGAAGAAAAATAGACAGACTTTGCGAGTTGGAATATGGTTCTGTTTCGAAACGAGATGTTACGAATGTATAGACGTCATACCTTGCTATTTTTGTAAAATGTCATTGATCAGAAACAATACACTCTACCTTTCTTTCTTCGTTCAATTCCATGTTATCTTGTTTGAATCACAGCAAAATTTCACTATCTTCTTTTTTATTATATGTTATGGACCCCCACTTTGAGCATACGAGTGAATTCTGTAGCAAATACGGCTGAACATTGTGGTGTCCAGTGGGTCACGAAATTAGAGAACTTGTTCCTCATAGTTTTGCTGTACCGAAAGAAAGCGAAAATCTGGATGACGCATATGAAACAATATAAATCACATAGTCTGGAATTCTGCCCAAATTTTGGTCAACAAAAGGTGCATTTTTGAACTATCCGGTCTTCTTAGGCCTCCACTTTGAGGGCTGTGTGAAATGCAGAAATTATTTTATATCAAGATCCGCTATAATAAGCGTACTGCCTCTACCTCCACAGTACCATGAAAATAATTCGAAAAAAGTTCTGACAGTATAAAACGGCCCATTGAGTATGGGATAGAAATACAAAAATTTTCTGAGCAGGGCCCGGCACAAAGTGGCTCTTAGAAAGTCTCCCTTGACTTTCGCGAATTTTTACGAAGTCCTCTTTGACCCTGAACCCTAATCGTACAAAATACCCCCAAAAAACGAAACGTCGACTAAAAAAACTTCTCAATTTTTGTGTCTTTTAGACCTCAAAATGATACCCCCTTGCTTTTTGTTCCAAAAACGATATCCGACTTGTTCACAAGACACCTGTGCCGAGCCCTATTTCTGAGTACGGGAATAATTGAAAATTTTTCTCAGCCTCTTTCCACTCCCACTTCGCCGCAAGCTCGTCAGCTCGTCAGATACAAAAATGGAATACCTAGAAATTTTGACTTGAAAAACTACAAATGCCAGCGGTCGTATCTATGGTTCGAGTTTGCTTGGTTTAGACAGCATTTTTTTGCTCTTACTGCTTCACTTAATGGAATTAAGTCTGCACCGACTTTTGCAAACCTGCCAGTTCAGAAAACCAAATTTTTGATAAAATAGACTCACTTGTATCTTGACAGCTTTAAAATATATTGCAGCTGAGTCTGAATGGTTATATTTGATATTTCGAAAGTCTTGTTCGTTGATCTTCGGGTGCTTAGCGATCTTAAGCTTCTGAGAAGAAAACCTTCAGAATGCTTAAGCATAGCTCTAATATGTTTTAAGCTGGACTTATCTGCCAGACATGGATCTGCAGACCAGAAATCTCGCGTCGTTTACAAAGTCAACGTTTTAGATCACCAATCTGAGCCCTGATAAAAACAGCAGAGTTTCATCACGGTTCCATCGTTGTATACATACGGTCCTAGCGGTCCGCTCGTCGCTCCTTCGGCTCGTATACACAGCCGCCGAAGCAAACATGATGTTGAATAGGTGATTTGTGTCCGAATAGCGCTTGGTCAGGATGGCCGTAATCTCGATTTTGAAACGAGTTTCTAGATCTGCTCAGGCACCACACACTTTTCCACATATGTGGTTGCAACATATTTTACATTAGCGTAGTTAGTTTACGCCATACCAAACCTCGCTTATCGTTCAAAGAATTCCAGCTATTTTTCAATATTCACAGCATATATTTTTTCATAGTAGCTTATTAGTTTGCTCTTGCACGACTTTCCAGAAATTTGGGGAAGAAACTGGATGTTCCGCTTTACAGTACCATTTCGTCATTAACAAAAGAAAATTTTGCTCGGACATGACCGTGTGCTCTTTGAATTACACTTTCGAACTCGCAACCGTTAAAAAAGGCCAAAAAATTTTCAGTCAGCCTAATAGCTTGGTTCATGAGACCTGTCCAAAAAATTCACTTCAAAATTGCTCAAACACTTACTCTGTTCCTTATACTTTATTAGCTGATCGTGCTGTATTTCATCGAAATTTCAAATACTTCGTTTCGAATAAATTTACATTCGGGTGAAAAAATCATAATCTCCATCTAATGGATACATGGATAGCGTGCTCACAGATGATCGGCACGATTCTAGTCTGAAAGACTTAGGTGCTGGAACTCAAAAGACTTTACTTATGTTCTGTTATTTTGCATTTTTGATGACATTACACCTCGAAAATAGGACTTGTCCTGATCAGGTTTCTTCGCAGTGAATGGTGATAGTACTAAGTAGTAATTGTT